AAAAATACTTTATCACACCTTAAATAAGAAAGGTAACACCAAATTAACAAATATTTGAGTTTAAAGACAGTCAGATACAACAAATCAAATTTTTATTTGATAATTTTTAATAAATTTTAAAGAAATGTCAATAACTTACCCATCCTACTGAACCCATGGCTTGTCTGAACCTTTTGGCCGTTTTATCCACACTTAATCTTCTCATTATGGGTTCATTGTTGTGCTGAAATACACAAACATGAAGAAAGGTATGTTTCAGATATTAAATGCATTCCATAAAGTAAGACTAGTCAAAACAAAAAGCTCAATATTTTATTTTCAAAATCAAATTTTATATTTATAAACAACTTCTCACCCCTTCATATGCCAATCTAGACAGTCTGTCAGACTGAAGAATTTTGATTACTTTATTGAAGAGTTTATTTTGCTGCAAGGTCCATCCAGTCCTAAAAATATATGAATAAAATTTTGTGTACATATTCCATCTAGATGTACTGTTTATGTAAAAAAATAAATGGACTAATAGTTTCTAAAAATCCAAATCATACACACTCCATTCAAACATATGCATCACAACATTATAATGAGTGTGATCTACTTCAATACATTAAAATGCATTTATTGCATCATTCACACCTTTTACTGAAAATATGATTTGGTTATAATTAAACACATGAAAATATTCAAATTCATTCCTAGATCACAATGATAATAGGTAAAAATTACTTATAAGAAACAAACCTTGTTACAGTATCTTCCCAATCTCCAGGCTTTTCTTCCATCCTGGCAAAATTGACATGTCTCTCGCATTCATTCATCACTGATCTAGCTTTCACTGGGTCATAGATAGGAGCTGATTGGAAAGAAGGGTTTACCACATCCACCTGCATATCCCCTGAGCTAAAAGTACAGAAAAAGTTCTCTCTAATAATTTCTGTAATTCTCAGAGATTTCAACCACTGTCAACATAAATATCATAGAGATAAATATTTTATGAAGTATGAAAATCTCTAGAATTTCATTTAGTTAAAAGTAAAATCCTTGGCTGGAAGGAAAAAATATTTGGGGGGGGGGGGTAAGACAAGCACACAAACCAAATCACATCAGAACTTACACATGTTGTTCTGCATTTTGTCCTCTCTGGAATTTAGTCATGAAGAGCATCTTCAGAGGTTTTGCATTGCTGGCATCTGGATGTGCACTCCATGGCTTAGCATAACAATGATCAAGCAACACGAGATCAATCTCATCTTCTTGGCCAGCAAGTTGTAAAAGAAACCTCTGCTGTTGCTGTTGGCCTGCATCTCCTCCTACCCCCACAGTATGTGAACTACTCATTGTGGATTTTATTGCAGAACTCATTATCCAGCTTGAAGTAATCCTAGAAAAAAACAAAATGCAAGCTAAAGAAAGTACACTTTATTATACATACATCATACAGTAACTTAATTAAAGATGCATACAAAGTCAATTTTTTGTCACAAAAACCAACCAAATGCCAGCATATAGTTTCAAGTAGTATAACTAAGAGAATTACCAAAAGGCATTGTTTAATTTTACCCGAAAATGATGTTTGAACAGATTTTTCTGCTGGCATTCTAAGCTGTATGTCAATGGGGCAGGAAAGTAGGTCACGGAAGTAGGTTAAATTTACAACCATAAATTTAAAGAAAGGAGCAATCTAAAGGTCTTTTATGGCTGATCGAGTGATCTATTAAGTTTATCCCTTGGCATGTCAAATTTATTTGAGTCATATAAGAATCTAGTAGAAGTGGTTTACATGTGTTTCTGGGAATCCACGCTCCACCGATGCTCGGTTCGTATGTACCTTTAAACAGTATATATGACAGTAGTAAAATGTATGATTGCCAACAAATGGTATCTTAATACACAAAACTTATGCAAGAAGTTTTAACACCCATCCAAATAATTAAATAATGCATTAGTTCTGATACACTGTCTCCTGTCATACAGTAGATTTAATTGCACATCGCCACACTGTATGTTTAAACGAGCAAAGTTTCCAAATGGTTAAAATGTTATTTTTTCTGAGAGGTTGGCATAACAACGGTAAATCAGAGCAGCCCTTCAACCGACAAGAGAGAACAATAACCTGACAATGATAGTGACAATAATCATACAACTCCCTCTACTAATTCTTGCTAAACAATGTCAAAATAAGTACCGACTCTCATTGAGTAACCATAACGTCATTTCGCATTAAATAATCAAATGCACGTAATCAAAATTAGCTTTTATCATCCCTAAATCATCTGGAATGAATTCCATCATTTACTGATTATGAAATGTTCTGTTTTTAGTAATAAACTTTACCTAAATTGACGCAGAGAGACTTCCCTGCATGACCGTAGAGCATCGGAAATTCTTATTTTCTACGCAAATAAAGTAGTTACTATGTATTGGATTCATCAGAACAGCTATACTAAACAAAATTGATACATCATTTCTATTTTCTTTAGAACAAAAGAAATGTTGAAAGATTAAATGAAAATTGCATGGTGTATTACCATTATGATTTTAATTGTAAAGCGGATGAATCTGACGGACTACAGTCCAGTACCCATTGACAGTTATCGTAAATTTTGCACATGGTGCCGTGGTGCTCGAAAGCCAGCAGATGGGTAGGTATGATGATACGGTTTCTTTTCGTGTTATGGCGGATGGCTGTTTGGAAGCATCATGATAAAATTCTACTTAAAAAAATCCAGCGAATCACGATTTTTCTTCCATGGGATTGAGAAAATAAGTAAAATGTCTGATTAAGAACATGCCCCAACTTGTTCTCGCGCCAATTTTTTTCTTCATTACACTCCCACAGATCAGATTCAACTGCATGATATTAGGGTAAGTTTAAAAACTCCAGTGAACAAATTCCCGTTTTTACCATTTACAGACTGTCGTTGAAGGAGCCCACACCTCATCTGCGAGTCGGAGACAGCTTACTATTTTGGGTCAGAAAGGGACATGCCAGTTCCATTTTGCAAGATGAATTCTTTTACTGAAAGACAGTTTCTGACTTTTCAAGAAGCAAAGGAGCTGATGTCCGACTCATATTCATGCTTTAAACTTCAGACCAGTGTAAAACATGTATTACTGTCCCCAAGATATATTGGAAATGTCAAGCAAGGAGTAGTGGAGCAACTGTCAACGGAACTACAGCTGTATTCTGATAAAATGGAAGGAGTCTTGATAGCATTTGATAATGTTAGATTGCTCCAGAACACTGGGAATGTAATTGAGTCTCAGCCCTGGGTACACATGGACATTCAGGCTGATTTCATAGTCTTCCAGCCAGGCAAGGGCAGTGTTCTGAAGGGTGTGATCAACAAACTTGGCAGAGACCACATTGGCTGTATAGTGCACCGGTGCTTCAATGCTTCTATACTCAAACCAAGGGATGCAGATAGTGACTGGCAAAATAACTTTAAAGTTGGACAAGAAGTCATATTCCAAGTCTTGAACTTGTATTCTAATAACAGAGTGCTCTCTTTGAGGGGCAGGTTACATCACACAGGAGAGGAATCTTTCCAAACTCCCAACAGATCTAGTCAAACCGTGAATCAATTTTTAAGCCCAACTCCCATAAAAGGATCATCTTTAAAGAGAAAAAATGATGAGTTGTCCATTGCCTTTGACACAAGCACACCTGATCATCATAGTAAAAAACAGAAAGTTGAACACATTAAGTCTGAAAGTATTGGAGTTGAAACTTTGACATCAAGCGTCTTAGAGAGTACAGTTGACTCAAGCACTGATGATCCAAATACTTCTAAAAAACACAAAAAGAAGAAGAAAAAGAAAGAAAAAGATATGTCAGACTATATTTCATCAATAAAATCAGAAAAATTAGGAAGCGATGACTCTGGAATTGGATCCCATAAAAGTCACAAGAAGAAGAAAAAACGTAAACACAAAGAAATTGTTGACTAGATTGTTTTATTTATTGGTTGCCATTAACAGATTGATCAGGATTGTACAGACAATATCCCTAAACATAAACAGTGTTTCTGTTGCAATATTTGAATTATGCTTAACACTGCTTTGAAACAAATATTTATATTAAATGAAACATTGTACAACATATGGTAAGCATTATGTTGCTACTGCGTATATTTGTGTGCAATAAATGTGTAAGATTAGTAATGAGCACATTTTTATTCTTTATGAAAAATGTATGATATGGAGAAATAAATTGTTTGAACAGCATTGATTAGTGTTGGATGCTTGAATGATAAATGTGAATGGGCATAATTAACTTGGTACTCTTTAGTGAAAGTTCTGCACATTAAATTCTATCATAACCATTCAAAGATTTTCGACATTAAACAATCTAGCTTTAAGTGAAGTGAGGTGTTCAAGAAAACTTGTGCAAATCTATTACATTTCACTGTTTGACAAAGTTATTACATTAACCTCTATGAAAAACAATAAAACTCGTCTTGATAAAAGCTGAGATGCAATATGGAAGTGACTAAGAAAGATATAATTAGATTGACTGATATGCTATAATGCATTTAACAGTTAAAGTACAGTAGTAGGTCGCTAATATTCCAAACATAGTGAAACGTTTAGAAAATAATTCAGTGATTGGTCTTGCTTTAAAGGGTAGATTTTATTTCACTAAAATGGGCAAAACTGAAGGCCAAGTCTAGTAAGCATTTTTTTTAAAGCAAATAACAGGGACTGTAAAAAAAGTAGACCTTTCTTGAAGATTGCATTTGTTAGCTAATTTATTTTAGCTTAGCACGCATAAATTGGATACGTACGACAAAAATAGTTGAAACTAATACGTGTATCTATTGGGCTTTCCTTTCAGCCTCAGCCTTGCAAGTCAAATGTCTCTGCCTGATGCCCACTTTCCCTGGGCATTCAGCCCCCACAGGAAGGAAAGAGACTTGTTTGCTGAATATGGAAGCCATGGTGCAGTAGATGTCAGGCTCATAGATGGTGAAGTCAAGGTATTAGCCCAGAAGTTGCACCAGGTGAGGTTTTACCACGTGACTGTAAGTAATATACAAAATAACAAGTCCCAAGCTGCGTCTGATATACACAAGTATTTAGATATACCCCAAATCCAAAGCTGTATGCATTATACACAAGTGCATAGCACAAATGTTGTCACATGCATCTTACTGATGATTGGCCTTTGTCAGAAATATCATGTTGGATGTCAAGAACAAAACTTCCTACAATTTCCATAGAAGGGCATGGCATGGCACATGGGTATGTGAGATAAGCCAGGAGGATCTTTTTTTTATTGACATCATGACATTTATTTCTTTAAATATTTTTCTTTTCAGGTAGATGTGCATTTAAAAAGCAGTCAACCATCTGTCCCATTTACCCCACCCAATTTTGTCCCATGCCCTTGGTCAGATAGATGTATGGGAGACCTGCATAATAAAAGGAAACAATTAGCAGAATTATATTACAGAATTAAAAGTCATCAAGGCAATGTGAAACATAGTGAAACAAGATGGACTGATTTGAAAAATAGTTTGAAAAGATTGCAGTGCATTAAAGAGAGCGAGGAAGAATCCAGTTCTGACATAGATTTATTGGAGGCATTCATGCTGGTGCCTAAGTCTCTAAGACAGTTGATTTCTGATGTGAAACAGTGTAAAGCATACACGCAGTTACCAGTGGTTAATTCAGCATACACTGGTGGTTGTCTTGCATTCTGCACTCAGGGCGAAAGAAATTTGGGGACATTGATATACCTCAGTGGGCAAAGATTAGAAAACATAGTTTTTGATCAAGTTTCTGTAGAAAACAGTGGGATCAAAAGAACATGTCAGAGTTCACATGTTCAAGTGAGTGGAGTTGTCCGTGAAATTGCTTCGTACAATTTTCAGTGTGCTGTGAGGACAGAAAATGAGGTGCAGATATTTTCTGCAGATAACAATTATGGTGTATGGGAGAGAAAGCATGGACTAAAATTAACAGATGATCCCTCATCAATTGCTCTTAGTCCTTTCATAAAAGGGGATGTTCTGGTTGCCAATAGGCTTGGCACTGTGAGATTATGGACGTGTGGACATCAACCTAAGGTTGTCTGTGAGGAAGTTGGTACCAGATTCAGTTGTAATGAATCCTGGAGGCAGTGTCATTTTGGTGCTCATCCAAGACTTGGAGTTCTGGCAGATAGAAGTGGTGTGGGGATGTTTGACATGAGGTAAAACCTACAAGACGGATACATTGCATATTTTACATAACGTTACATGTTATCAGGTTGTACTGACCTCTTTGCTCTTGAAGTGCACAAAAGGGATGGATGGATTTTGCTCTAGCAGTGAATAATCTACATGTAATTGATAACATAAAATAAAGACTTTGATTTTTATAGTTTCTGAATGCATCAAAATTATCTGAAAATCTTCATATTATAGAACCAGTCACCTGTTTCTGAGTATTGATTCAAGATTTTTTAATTTTTGAAAATATCACTTGAAAATTTTTAATCAACAATTCCCTACCATATTTCTAAAATTTGAATGATATAGCTGAATGAAAAATCCAGCAAAGTTAAGAAGCAATCAGTTTTTTTAGTCATAGCTTCAATAGCTAAATAATTATAAAAGTATGATAAGTTAGAAAATTGTTTTAAAAAGTGATGGCTATTCAGTAAACATAATTTTTGAAATTTTTTATTTGTTTTCAGAGTTCAGAATTGCCAAGATGTAAATGACCTGTTTGTGTTGCCCAGTAAACACCTCAGTGTAAAAGAGAGGGTGATGGCAACTAAGCAGCACCCAGAGTCTCACTTTTATCATGTTGTTGCCACAGATTACTCACTGATTCTTGTGGATGAAAGATTCTATAATGTACCTGTAAGTACAATTTTTATAACCAATGGGGATTTTAGTATACTTCATGTCAATGAGTTGGGTATGAAAATTTCAAAGCTTGTGAAATATTTTAAACGTAAAAAACTGTTGTCTGTTATACATTGTAAAACATTGCCATCTATTTTGCAAGTAAAGTTTTTGTTGTGGATAATGCTTTGAAGCACCCTTTAAGCATTTGTACTTTTTCCCTTTGTGTGGCTTTCTATCATTAAGACTGAGTTCCCACAGATTTAGATCGATCCATCTGGATCGACCTAACTCCCTGGGGGTTGACGCTAAATTGCTGTCAGGTTCTGGGAGCCGAGCACGCACAAAAGTTAATTACCCCCTTACAGCTTTTAGTAGGCGGGTCAGACATTTATGCCGATTAAGCTGACAGCAATCTAGTGAGACTCCCCAGGGGGATAGATTGATCTAAATATCTGTGGGAATGGTCTCTTAGTGTTCTTTGAAGAGTATTACACAAAAATGGTTTATACTCTATGAAAAAAACTTTGTTTTAGGTTCTCCAGTGGAATCATAGCCTGTTAACACCTCCACAGTACATGGACATAGTGGCATCAGTAGACCTCCATGGAACAAAGGAGGACATACTTCTTCTCTCCAGTCAAGAAAGTTGTGAGACCAACTGTTTCCAGTTCTCTGTATGTCACGATACGCATACCCAGGACTGCCACACACCTCAGGCCACCTGCCCAATGTGGAGAAGCTCTAAAATCAGTGATTTTACTTGTTTTCCTAATGTCTCTGGTGC